ATTTGGATGACGATGTTTACTTCAACGAGTCAGCAGCTGTGGACTGCTCATTCTGGACCAGGCCCTAATCCCTGGGACTCGAAAAAGGAAGAGACGGCGCAAGAGAGGCAGACGAGTGGGCTCCCTGACGAGACTACGTCCGCAAGTAAATAAACCGCCTCCACCCTCCGTTCTATTGGCGAACGTACAATCACTAGAGAACAAACTGGACAAGCTCCTTTCGAGACTATCCTATCAACGGAACCTGAATAACTGTAATATCCTATGTTTCTCGGAGTCGTGGCTGAACAAGGACATGGATAATATACATCTAGCTGGTTTTTCTATGCATCGTCAAGACAGAATGGCAGCTTCGGGTAAGGTGGAGGTGTGTGTCTCTGTTAACAACAGCTGGTGTGCAGTCTCTAATGTTAAGGAAGTATTTTGCTCACCCGAGTTAGAATACCTCTTGATAAGCCGCAGACCATACTATTTACATTTTTCATAGCTGTCTATTTACCACCACAAACCAATGCTGGCACTAAGACCGCACTCAACGAGCTGTATAGGGCCATCAAAAAAAAAGAAAATGCACATCCAGAGGTGGCGCTCCTAGTTGCCGGTGATTTTAATGCAAGGAAACTGAAATCTGTCTTACTTAATTTTTACAAGCATGTCACCTTTACAACTAGAAGCGACAAAACTCTAGATCACCTTTACTCTACACACAAAAACGCATACACGGCCCTCAAATAGAAAGTACCAGTGATGCGCTCAATATGGAAGTGGTCCAATGAAGCGGATGTTAAGCTACAGAACTATTTCGATAGCAGACTGGAATATGGTCCAGGATTCATCTGATATCATTACCACATTTACATTTTAGTCATTTAGCAGACGCTCTTATCCAGAGTGACTTACAGTTAGTGAGTGCATACATTTTCATACTGGCCCCCCGTGGGAATCGAACCCACAACCCTGGCGTTGCAAGCGCCATGCTCTACCAACTGATCTACACGGGGCCCCATCAGTCACCGACTTCATTAATAAGTGCATCGACAATGTCTTCCCCACAGTGACCGTACATTCGTACATATCCCAACCAGAAGCCATGGATTACAGTCATTAACCACACTGAGCTAAAGGCTAAATCTGCTGCTTTCAAGGAGCGGGACACTAATCCCGCAACGACCTCCGACGAGCCATCAAACAGTCAAAACTTCAATACAGGACTAAAATCTAATCCTACTACGCCGGCTCTGATGCTTGTAGGATGTGGCAGGGCTTGCAAACTACCACGGATTACAAAAGGAAACCCAGCTGCGAGCTGCCCAGTGATGCGAGCCTACCAGACAAGCTACATTTCTTCTATGTTCGCTTTGAGGCAAGCAACACTGAACCATGCATGAGAACACCAGCTGTTGCGGATGACTGTGTGATCTCGCTCTCCGTAGCCAATGCGAGTAATAATAATAATATGCCATTTAGCAGATGCTTTTATCCAAAGCGACTTACAGTCATGTGTGCATACATTTTTACGTATGGGTGGTCCCGGGGATCAAACCCACTACCCTGGCGTTACAAGCGCCATGCTCTACCAATTGAGCTGCAGAGGACCACATATACTGAGTAAGACCTTTAAACAGGTAAACATTCACAAGGCCGCGGGGCCAGACGGATTACCTGGACACGTACTCAGAGCATGCGCTGACCAGCTTGCAAGTGTCTTCACTGACATTTTAAACCTCTCCCTGACCCAGTCTGTAATATCAGCATTCAACACCATACTTCCCTCCAAGCAGCTCAGGACCCTGGGACTGAACACCTCCCTCTGCAACTGGATCCTGGACTTCCTGACGGGCCGCCCCCAGGTGGTGAGAATAGGTAACAACACATCCGCCACGCTGACCCTCAACACGGGGGCCCCTCAGGGGTTTGTGCTTAATCCTCTCCTGTACTCCCTGTTCACCCACAACTGCATGGCCATGCAAGACTCCAACATCATCATTAAGTTTGCTGACGACATGATGGTGGTTGGCCTGATCACCGACGATGATGAGACAGCCTATAGGGAGGAAGTCAGTGACCTGGCAGTGTAGTGCCAAGACAACAACCTCTCTTTCAACGTCAGCAAGACAAAAGAGCTGATCGTGGAATACAGGAAACGGAGGGCTCGAGCACTCCCCCATCCACATTGAAGGCTGTAGTGGAGCGGGACGTCGAGCTTCAAGTTCCTCGGTGTCTACATCACTAAGGAATTATCATGGTCCACACACACCAGCACAGTCATGAAGAAGGCACGACAATGCCTCTTCCCCCTCAGGAGGCTGAAAAGATTTGGCATGGGCCCTCAGATCCTTAAAAAGTTCCCCAGCTGCACCATTGAGAGCATCTTGACTGGCTAAATCTAGGGCTGTGGCGGTCATGAAATTTTGTCAGCCGGTTATTGTCATGCAAAAGCCTGCCGGTCTCACGGTAATTCACCGTTAATTAACATAAACAAGTTTAGCATCTCCAGGCCTCCACGCATACAAGCTGCATTCAAGCCGCTGATGCACACCTTTGGAACATCTACATTTAAAAAGTCTAATAAATCAATTTAATATACACCATCACAATAAATCCATTATTTATTTTAGTCAGGTCTAATGAAACATTATGATATGAATAAAATGTATTTTAGATGAACAGAATATGAGTTGGTCTACTATACACTACCAGTCAAAAGTTTGGACACACCTACACATTCAAGGGTTTTTCTTTATTTTGACTATTTTCTACATTGTAGAGTACTAGTGAAGACATCAAAACTATGAAATAACACATATGGAATCATGTAGTAACCAAAAAAGTGTTAAACAAATCAACATATATTTTATATTTGAGATTCTTCAAATAGCCACCCTTTACCTTGAAGACAGCTTTGCACACTCTTGGCATTCTCTCAACCAGCTTCAAACTCTGTATGCCTTGGGCTCTCCAACCCTGTTCCTGCAGTTATCCAGTGCTTAATTTGGGAAACCACGTGAAATCTGTTCGTAACGAAACATATTTCACTAAACTATTGACAGCCCCTCTGCGCGCTCGAGAAAGGAATGAAGGAGAGAGAGGAGGAGATGGGAATGCATGGTGGTGAGATATTCTGTAGCTAAAGGTAATATGTCAGCCTATTAATTATGAAAATATAAAACATTCCCTATTACTAGGCTATTGAAAATTATACAAATGTACTATAATTGTAAGCCGCCCTGCACAATCAATGAACCAACAGAATCGCCTAGGGCTATACATTCTCTCCCAGACTCGTGGATAGAAATTTTGGAGGATAGCATAAGGCAACCCAGTCCATCCAGTATGCATAATGATACAGTCCACACTCAAAGGCCATTACTTAATTTTGTTTAATTTTAGAGTATAGGCTAGACCAATTACGTACCAAAGACATCTTAAATCAGTTTAGTAAAAAAAAATTCTGCCATGCGTAATATGCAGTTGGCTATGTATTGTATAACAGCACAATCACAATTCAGTTTGTTTTTTTTCGGGCTCATAAGCCTATGCATAAGCTCTATGGGTGTTTGAATTAATCATCACCTTACAAGGTGTTGTCCATTTTGCTGTGTCAGGCTTTGAAACAACATCCACAATGACCATGTTTTCCACTCAGTTTCAACCTGCTTTTGAACTTCTTTCTTCAAATTGATCGATCACAGTGAGGTGAGTTTTAAAAGCATATACTGTTTTGATGGTAATATGGCTTGGACCAATAATAATCCATTGGGTCAGTGGCCTCTATGTACTGTAGATGCTGATTGGACATCTTCATTAACCTTCAGATTGAGGGGAAAAAGCAGTGTGCAAAGGATCGATGGTGGCAGAGATGGCTGGATCGTCTCAGCTGACACTGGAGAGGTGCAGACAGGCTCAATGTAAATCTAGGCGCTGATTTACTATGTGATCAATACCTGTACATCGGCACGGATACGGTGCGCTCGTAATAATCCCACGTCGACTCCAGGTCTGGCCGGGTGAGATTGGTGGCGTAGAAGCGCCACGCGGCCTGAGGGGAGAGAGAGAGAGAGAGAGAGAGAGAGAGAGAGAGAGAGAGAGAGAGAGAGAGAGAGAGAGAGAGAGAGAGATGAAATAGGGAAGTATAGAGAAATTGATGAATAATAAATGCAGAGAGATAGAGAAAAATAGAGAGAGAGAGTGAGGGAATGTGAGCGAGAAAAATAGAAAGAGAGTGAGCGAGAGAGCAGTGCATGGTTTTGAAGGGTAGGTAATGAATACAGCGTTTTCTTTATGTTCGCTTTGCTACTATCTATCTCGGTGCTCTGAGAGTCCTTTGAAATAAACGAGATCATACAAATCTATGCATGCACATTATTACAATTTTTGGGAAGGAAAACTATTTCACTAGTATTGTAATTAATTATAGGTCATATTTCATAGAAATCTGGAAACACTGGACAGTTACTTTAAGGTAGCTAGGTGTGACAACCACATATCACAGTCATAGTAAGTAAAACTTTTCCTCAATAAAGCAGCTTCCAGCAAAGTCAGTGCTAGAAAAGACAAGCATGAGTGTTAGTGCAAGAAAGGCAAGGGTGTTATGTTTTTGTAAAAACCCAAACGAATACTGCCCAAAATTAATTACAGTAGTTGACTAATTACAGTAGTTTCCAGCTACAATAGCCATTTACAACATTAACAATGTCTACACTGTATTTCTGATCAATTTGATGTTATTGTAACGGACAAAAAAAATTGCTTTTCTTTCGAAAACAAGGACATTTCTAAGTGACCCCAAACTTTTGAACGGTAGTGTATAGACAAGCGAGCATAGTAACATCATGTAGAATGTGTCTTGAAAAGCGTACCATGAAACCGTTATTTTCAGTTCTTGTGGATCAAAGACTATATAGTGAAATTCCCAGTAACGGTCTAAGGTACCCCACCAGGACACCAACGCTCTAAATGTTGTTGGTTTTTAGAGTGGGTAAGCGCCCTGCTTTGTTTACCTGAATAAGCCCTGCCGCAGGATTCCGCCGCTTCTCAAAGTGTTTTTGTCGATGTTGCTCTTGGACCTTCAAGGCAAAGCCAGAGCCCAAGATACCCTTAGAGACACAGAGAAACCATTAGTCACAACAACAAGCCTCTGGAAAACATGATTGATTCACAATTAAATTGCCAAGTCCAGTGAATTACTTCAGAGTAGCACTTGACTCAAATGGCAGATGCTTCAGGCACTCATTTCCTGAGTTTCCTCAGAAGCACTCCATTTCCTTGCATTCAGTGCACATTAATAACTTAGCTCAGCCATTTCTTCACAAATCAATAGTCTTTGACTTACTGCTGGAAGTGCAAAGAAAGACACTCCAATCAAGGTGAAGGTTGCGGCCAGAAGACGCCCGTTCCACGTTATTGGAAACTTGTCTCCATACCCAATGGTAGTCAGGGTGATCTGAGAAGGCAATCGGCAGACATCTTGAATGACACCTTTTATAAATATTCACAGTGTTTCTTCATCTCACGCTAAGCTGTTCAATATAATTCAACATCATGGTAATTGTGGAAGTGTGACATAAGTGGGTGAAATACCACCGACATGTTAAGTCCCAAGGTTGAATCACACTAATATCCTTTAGATTTAGATTTCACACAAGTACTGGGTGTTTTATGAGGACTCCTGAGTGGCGCAGTGGTCTAAGGCACTGCATAGCAGTGCTAACTGTGCCACTAGAGATCCTGGTTCGAATCCAGGCTCTGTCGCAGCCGGCCGCGACCGGGAGACTCATGGGCGGCGCACAATTGGCCCAGCGTCGTCCAGGGTAGGGGAGGGAATGGCCGGCAGGGATGTAGCTCAGTTGATAGAGCATGGCGTTTGCAACGCCAGGGTTGTGGGTTCGTTTCCCACGGGGGGCCAGTATAAAAAAATATGTATTCACTAACTGTAAGTCGCTCTGGATAAGAGCGTCTGCTAAATGACTAAAATGTAATGTAAAATGTAATAAATTATCCTATTAAGAAATGCTGGGTGTTTTGTGGGGACCTGATGAAATTCTGCTGTCAAGCACTGGATATTTTTCTGTGGACATTAAGATATTTGGCTTTAAACAAGTGCTGAATGTTTTGTGGAGACCTGCAGAAATTATCTTATAAATAAGTGCTGAGTGTTTTGTGGGACCTGCAGACATACTCCTTTCCAACCACTGAGTGTGTTGTTGGGACATGCCAACATTGTCCTATTAACAACCGCTGAGCATGGTTTGTGAGGACCAGTGAAACAAGGCTTAGAGTGATGACTTACCAGGCCCCACCACAGTGCGTCTGCGTAGGTCTCAAACTGGTCGTTGTCCTCTTTCTCTGCCAGATAGACCAGGAAGGACGCCAGGATGAGGCAGAGGAAGCCGATGTACCACGCTGTGATCAGCTCCTGCAAAAGGTCAAGGTGTCAGGAAGGACTAAACAATATACTGTAGCTACTTCATTTATTTCAGGAACAAGAGTATCGAAGCAATAATACTTATGAAGGAAAACCTTGCTTTATCAAATCAATAGATGCCAGGTACTGCATATTTATGTTATGACCAGAGTACCAAAGCAATATTAACTTAACCCCTTACACTAGTGGAAATCGGCCTATATGGATAGGGCCAAATTGAAATGTTTCTAAAAGAAGAACTATAAAAAGCATATGCTTTCTGCATGTCATCCTCAAACATAGAGATCATAAACGTTGATACTGTAAATGACATGAGCTTTTAAATAAGGAAAGTGAAGTGCACACTTAGACTAACGGGTGTGTGGTTTGTTTGTACGGTATTTATTATAATCCTCAACGTGTCATCTTTCAGAACACATCGATTTACAGCATTTCCCTCACAACAACAAAATGTGTAAAAGTTGCCTAATCAGCGGGAGGAATGGAGGTACTGTACAGCCAATTTAGGCACGTATCAATGAAAAACCTGCCATTTTCAACCCGTATACGGGATGACAGAAGCTGTGAGTGAAAAGGGCTACAAAGTAAAAAAACGGGTGTATGGAACAAGAGGACGGGATGGGAGGAGGCCGCCCTGGTCGTCCTTTACGCATAGGGGCTATCGGAGGGGATGAAGGACAAACTCTCCTTCAGGGAGCTGCCTGAGCGACTGGACGGCCTCGTCGAACTCTCGGTGCAGGTATACAATCGGCGTCGTGAGAGGGCGCATTAGAGAGGGATGACGCAAGGCGCGCCTCCGCGTCCCCCTATCAACCCGGACGCTTTCCGCCAATTCAGGGAGGAGACGCCTCAGGAGTAGGCTATGCAGCTGGGGGCGGCGCGCTTGTCCAGGATGGAGAGCCACCAAACCGAAACCCCAACTCCAGAGACTCCCGGACTTTTCTCCCCATCAGGGTTCAGTGGGCCCACGCTGTGCGTCGGGCGCATGCACTGGTGGATTCTGGGGCCGCGGGAAACCTGATGGACGCGGGGCTGGCCCAAGGGTGGAGCGTTCCGTTACTCTCCCTCTCCGAGCCGGTTCCGGTCATGGGACTGGACGGCTGGCCGTTGGGGTCGGGCTTCATCACAAGGCGCACTGGCCCTGTGCGTGTCCGGGTGGAGGGGGGGCTATAGAAGGATATCCAGTTTTTCATTGTGGACTCTACGGAGTGTCCCCTCATCCTCGGGCACCCCTGGCTGGTCGCCCACAATCCCCGGATAGACTGGTCCACGGGGCGGCACATCCTGGAGGGAGGCTCTGCCGCCGTCCTGTTCTGGTCTCCACCGACCACTCATCAGCCCAAACCACCGTCCCAGACCACCTACCAGTCCTCACCTCTTCCCCAGGTCCCGCACTCCGAACCGCCTACCGCCCTAGCGGCGGGGAGGACGGCGGCTACAGACTCCGTCACCGGCCCAGACCTGGCAGGCGTTCCCCAGGAGTATTGGGATTTGGGGGAGGTGTTTAGTAAGAGGCGTGCAGTGATTACCGGGCGCTCAACGACATCACTGTTAAGAACCGCTACCCACTCCCCCTGATGACGACGGCATTCGAGTCGTTGCAGGGAGCCCTGGTCTTCACCAAGCTGGACTTACGCAATGCCTATAACCTGGTGAGGATTCGGGGGGGGGGGGGGGGGGACGTGTGGAAGACGGCTTTTAACAGACCCAGTGGGCATTACGAGTACCAAGCCTTTAGTTCTAGCCAACGCGCATGCCATATCTCAGACTGCCCATCTTTTATTTTTATTGGCCAGTCTGAGATATGGCTTTTTCTTTGCAACTCTTCCTAGGGTCAGCATCCTGTAGTCGCCTCTTCACTGTTGACGTTGAGACTGGTGTTTTGAGGGTACTATTTAATGAAGCTGCCAGTTGAGGACCTGTGAGGCGTCTGTTTCTCAAACTAGACACTCTAATGTATTTGTCCTCTTGCTCAGTTGTGCACCGGGGCCTGCCACTCCCCTTTCTGGCCATTTTGAGCCTGTAATCGAACCCACAATTGCTGATGCTCCAGATACTCAACTAGTCCCCTGTAGCTCAGATGGTAGAGCATGGTGCTTGCAACGCCAGGGTTGTGGGTTCGTTTCCCACGGGGGGCCAGTATGAAAATGTATGCACTCACTAACTGTAAGTCGCTCTGGATAAGAGCATCTGCTAAATGACTAAAATGTAAAAATGTAGTCTCAAGAAGGCCAGTTTTATTGCTTCTTTAATCAGCACAACAGTTTTCAGCTGTGCTAACATAACTGCAAAAGGGTTTCCTAATGATCAATTAGCCTTTTAAAATGATAAACTTGGATTAGCAAACGCAACGTGCCATTGAAACACAGGACTGATGGTTGCTGATAATGGGCCTATGTACGCCTATGTAGATATTCCATTAAAAATCAGCCGTTTCCAGCTACAATAGCCATTTACAACATTAACAATGTCTACACTGTATTTCTGATCAATTTGAAGTTATTTTAATGGACAAAAAAATTGCTTTTCTTTCAAAAACAAGGACATATCTAAGTGATCCCAAACTTTTGAACGGTAGTGTATTTGCTCCACCTTTCTTTTATCGTGATAAGTCTGTTATTTTGTATTCTGGCTTCGGGACCACCAGTAAAGAACCTTGTTTCACCATCTCTGCCTACTGCCTACTGTATATCCTGCACCGCACTTGGGTCACACCTCACACCAACCCTTACATTCATCTACATGATCAAATATTGATAGAACAGAAAGCCACAGCTACATGAGGTTATACACTGAGTGTACAAAACATTAAGAACACCTGCTCTTTCCATGACATTGACTGACCAGGTGAAAATTATTATCCCTTATTTATGTCACCTGTTAAATCCACTTCAATCAGTGTAGATAACGGGAGGAGACAGGTTAAAAAAGATTTTTAAGCATTGAGACAATTGAGACATGAGGGTGAATGGGCAAGAAAAAATATTTAAGTGCCTTTGAACGGGGTATGGTAGTAGGTGCCAGGCACACCGGTCTGAGTGTCTCAATGACTGCAACGCTGCTGGGTTTTTCATGCTCAACAGTTTCCCATGTGTATCAAGAATGGTCCACCACCCAAAGGACATCCAGTCAACTTGACATAAGTGTGGGAAGCATTGGAGTCAACATGGGCCAGCATCCCTGTGGAATGCTTTCTACACCTTCTAGAGTCCATGCCCCGACAAATTGAGGCTGTTCTGAGGGCAAAAGGGGGTGCAACTCAATATTAGGAAGGTGTTCCTAATGTTATGTACAGTCAGTGTATACAGTATAGTAAACACCATTAGTCAATTGATGAATCAATATAAAAACAACCTGATGTAATGGGTTTGACCTACAACTCACATACACAGAGGGACCAGGTCTTTCAATAAAACGGTCAACCCAAAGAATGAGGTTTAGGAGTAAATACCTCATATAGGGAAGTTCCTATTTGAGGGAAATGAAGGTCGATATCAATTCTCAAAGTGCTGTAAAGCTTGACGCTTTACTACCGATGAGAAACAACAATTTTATTGAGTATCACTGAGCAGTGACTAGCATGATAAAAACCTGTACGTAAACCCAAAATACATCAACTAAAAGTCTGATTTTTTACCACAATAAATTATTTGAAACCTCATATTTTTTCAATCCAGCAAATTTTGTAACCTATAAATATGTCAGGTTATAATCTGGTAATAAAATATCCAGTTCTGGATAGATAGAGTATCAGGTCCACTTTGTTTGAGGGACTGACTGGTGCTGAAGTCAGCACGAGGAAATACCGTGGTTAGCTACTCTGAGAAATAGGATGGGCATGCCCTGGCATTACCTATCGTTCCGGCTGCTGAGGCAGCTCCCCCGATACCACTATTGTCCATATTTAACCACGGGGAGGAGCGAGATAGAGAGACAGAATAAGTGCTAGAGTTGGGGATGAGATGGAGAGAGAGGGAGGAGGAGGTAAGCGAGAGGGAGAGAGACAGATGCAGAATAAGGTAGAGAGACAGATGCAGAATAAGTGACAGAGAGATGGGGATGAGATGGAGATGGAGAAAGAGAGAGAGAGAAAGAGAGAAACAGAGAGAGAAACAGAGAGAGAGCGAGAGCGAGAGGAAGGAATGACTGACTGAAAGGTCAGAATGATGAAAGTGCAAGGTGGCATTCCTGAACGTGAAACATCAATGCGGCAAAATAGTCATGACCCTGACGGCTGTGTGGAAATAGGCACAGCTCAAGATCACAGAGATGGACATGTTGGTTAATTATCCTTGATTCCCTGTGTTGTCCCTTCAGTGTTGGCAGAGTTGGGATTTTTTTATACCTAAAAAGGACGTGTTTTTGTACTATTTGTGTTAGGAATATTGGTTGTCTTGAGGAGAGAAGCTGGCTCATAGCTTTATGTATGCGGTTTCATATTAGAGGATATAATATTAACATCTGCTTGGATAAATAAATAAGATTAGGCACCTTGAAATGAAGTGATAAAGATGATATATTTTATTGACCAAAATACATTTTGCAAGCAAGTCAGAAAAAAAGGAGCTTATCACAGAAGAAACTCTTTGAAAGTGAGAAAAACTCACTTTACACTTTAGACAGTGACTAACAACCAACGTACAATTTTAACCCACTCTTATTCAAGTCCAAAACCCTGAATTGAATGAGTAAGCAGACGATGCAGTGGAAACTCATGCATATTTAAACTATGTTGTCACGCCCTGGCTCTGGGGACTCTGAAATGTTGAGCCAGGGTGTGTAGTTTCTGTGTTATATTTTCTATGTTGATGTTCTAGATCGTTTAGATCTATGTTGGCCAGGGTGGTTCCCAATCAGAGGCAGCTGTATCTCGTTGTCTCTGATTGGGGACCATACTTAGGCAGCCTGTTTGGCACTAGTCGGTGTGGGATCTTGTTCCGTTAAGGTTTGTTTTGTGTAACCTAGGACTTCACGTTTCGTTTGTTTGTTGT